GGGAAGGGAAGGGAAGGGAAGGGAAGGGAAGGGAAGGGAAGGGAAGGGAAGGGAAGAGAAGAAAAAATGTTGTGTAGGAAAGGCTGATAATCACATACAGATACATAATTTAGGAGAAAATATGGGCAAATGAAGGCAGAAAGAAATTTTAGTGGGCAGGAAGAATGAGAGAAGGAGGCTCTAGACAGAGAAGTGATCATTATCTTCAAGACATAAATTGGATAGGTCAGAGTAGGACACAGAATAAAAGACTTAGAGGTTTGGTACTCCAGAGACTCTATCAGAATTGATCATTGCTTAGGTGAGGGCAGGTGTGCAGAACCTTAGGAGAGATTTGGGATTGGAGTATACAGGACAGTGTCAGACATAAGCAAGCTGAGAACAATGAAATCTTAGGAAACGTGGTGGGGAAATAAAAGTCTTCTAAAGACGACAGAGGGCAAGTGAATACAGAAAAGAAATTTCCTTAAGAGTTTATCAGTGCAGTAATACATGAAAAGATTTCCTTGCTTACAGTATTTTAGTGTTTAAATTGCGATAAACTGAAATATCAAGGCATTAGATAAGCTCTAAATGCATTTTCTCCTTGTACGTTGTGTTTACCAAGAGTGAAGCTGGCCTACAGGTTAGAATTGAGATGGATGGAGAGAAAATAAATGCACTATTCATTTTCAACATGGAGTTGGAAGCAAAAAATGCCATCTAAGGAAAGAAAGATATTAATGGGCCTGATTCAGAGTAGGTGAGGAAACTTTTTGAGAGTGATTTAACACAAGCGTGAATACATTTAGTCCTCCAGCGCCCTTAAGGGATTGCTGGTTACAGTAGAGAAGCAATGCATTCAATAGAAATTCACGTGTTCCTTGGCATCTTTAAAGGTATGTATCAAAATGAAAGTGATGATCAAAATGAAAGGTATGATCAAAAATGAAAGTGAATATCATAATAGAGTAATTTCAAAGAATGGAAATGATTTCCAAAATGAAAATGTAAAAGGAATTCTATAACCTCAGATACTCTAACCCTAACAAGGTCACTCATTTCATGGAAAATCTAGAGAAGTTGGTGTGAAATGGTTCACTAGTAACATGATTGATAATGTGCATGGGTGGATAGAGGGGTAGACAGATGAATAAATGGATAGATGGATGGGCAAAAGAAGGTGAAGTCATATTCTGAATTTTGAACCATTTTTATCTAAGGGGCAAAGGTACTCCCAGCATATTTGAGAGGTCAATTTCCCCTGAGAAATAGTAAACTCAACTGTCTTCCTTTCACAACATGTGAGTCAGCCCCTGTGAGAGCCGTTCGGAATCTGCAGATGTGCCAGACATTCTGTAAATAGCGTTCACTTATCATTATCAGTTTCCTTTTGCCATTCCCTATTCAACCTGTGAGACAGTGGTGATGATCGCCGGGAGATAGAATTAGCAGATACTTTTTAATTGTAGAAGTGATCCTAACAATGAAAACTGCGTATTTCCTAACATTTCTTCTGAATGATGATTAAAAAGACACATATATAATTTAATAAAGCATGACTTTGAGGGAACACAGTCTTACATTTAACTCCTAGCTTTATCATTTCCAAGCGGAGTGACCTTGAATAAATTCCTTTTCCTTTCTAAGCCTGGAGGGGTCATCTTGTGTAAACTCACAAAGCAGGCTCTAAATAAATCCTGCCATAATCAGTGGCAATTCTTTCCTACCAGGCAAGAACACAAATAAATTGGCTGACTGATGTTGGCTTTTAGCCTTTAAGCTGTTAGTCCAGGGACAAATGTATCCAGAATACAAACGGGTCCAGAAAACAAAAGTTTATGACAGAAAAGTAAAAATTAGACAAATATTAAATATGTCCCATTTTTACTAACCAACCATGAAAAACTTTAGAAGAGCACATCTCATATTCATTATTAAATCCTCTACACAGCCGTCCCCATAATACTGATATATTATTGAAACATTTATACACAAACCCTTTAATTGAGGTATGTTATTACAGAGGAGAAGCATTCAATTCCAAAGGGATTTTAATACTTTGAGATCTGAACAACTTAACTTGTTTTAAGTGGCTTTCAGGAGCATGATGATAGTCAGGAAGTGATGAGTGCAAAGTGTTTATTATCTTTGTATTTTAATGTAAGTTAGTGTTAAGTTTCATAATATGACTGTCTTCAACAATTGACTTGGAAAGTTTGGCATTCTAGTTTCATTAGCCAATACCACCTCACAGCAATGGATCTAGGACAAGTTCTTGATAGATAGGTTTCAGCCTCTCTACAAAATGAGAGAGCAAGATTAGATAACCCCATAGGGATACACCAAGTTTGATAGTCTGTGATGTTCTTTCGAGAGGCCAAGGCGGAAGTCACAGTTCTAGTTCTTCCTGGACAACTTAGTGAGATTCTGTTTCCAAATAAAATAAATAGTAAGTAAACCAATAAAAAGGACTGGGGATTTAACTTAGGGCAGACAACCTTGGTTCACTCCCCACTACAGAGAGAGAGAGAGAGAGAGAGAGAGAGAGAGAGAGAGAGAGAGAGAGAGGGAGAAAGAGAGAGA